ACCATCCAGAAGTCATTCAGCTGTCCACAGTGCAGCAAGCAGTTCACTAGGAACAGCAGTCTGACGCACCACATGAGGAATCACTCCGGGGAAAAACCATTCCGCTGCGGGCACTGTGGCAAGCAGTTCACACGCAACAGCAGCCTCACCCACCACATGAAGGTGCACAGCGACGGCAAGCTCTTTACGTGCACGCACTGCGGTAAGCAGTTTGCACGCCACATCAGTCTGAACGCCCACATGAGGGTGCACGCCTCGCACCGACCCTTCCACTGCCTCTTCTGCCCCAAGCAGTTCACGAGAAACAGCAGTCTGAACCACCACCTCCGCAGCCACAGTGGCGACAAGCCGTACGAATGTCCCGAGTGCAACAAGCAGTTCACACAGAACAGCAGCCTCAAGGACCACTTGCGGCTGCACACGGGCGAGCGACCGTTCAACTGCAACCACTGCAGCAAGCAGTTCAGCAGGAACAGCAGCTTGGTGCATCACTTGAAAGTGCACAGCGGCGACAAACCGTACACGTGTCAGCACTGCAACAAGAAGTTTGCCAAGAACATCGGCTTGAACGCTCACATGCGAATCCACACGGCGGCCAGGCCGTTCAGCTGTCCGCACTGCAGCAAGCAGTTCACGCAGAACAGTAACTTGAACGTGCACATGAGGATTCACAATTTGGCCAACCAGAACTCCATAGCCACCAATCCAAACGCTAACGCGGCTTCCATCGTGACTGCTGCGGCCGTTGCATTAGCGTCATCGTTAGCCGCTCAGAAACAACAACAACAACAACAGCAGCAACAACAACAACAACAACAGTTATTAAACGAATCAACTGAAAACAACACAGCAACAACAACGTTGATGCCCAGTTTTTTCAACGCAGCCAGCTTAACGACAGGTCTTCCAGCGACTCAGCTGCTAACGAACAATCTCCAAAACTCACAAAACTTTTTAACAGCAGCAGCAGCAGTCGCCGCAGTCGCCACCGACCCAAACAGCGATTCGAATAACTTATCGATACAGCCGAGTTTCAACGGTTTCACGGTCCCTCAGGCTTATCAAACTATCTTCTCACCGCAGAATATTTTCACCAGCCTCTCCCTACAAACGCCTGGCTCATCCGTGGCAGGCGGTTGTGTTTCAGTGCCTAACTTCCAACATGTCTTTGCTACATTCTCGAATGACAGCATCAACAACAACAACAACAACATTAACAACATTCTCAGTAGTAGCAGCAATAGTAATGTAATCATCGGTGAGAACATTAGCGATGCAACAGCAACAACAAATATTTTATTGAATGGCAGTCAGAGTTTAACCAACGACTCCAACCACAACACGAGTATCATCCTAAATAACTTAAGCAATAGCAACTTTATAAACAGTTTTATAAACAACAACAACAACCTTCTAAATAGCAGCAACATCAGTATCAACAACACTTTAAACAACGACATGTTATCATCGAGCATCTTCCAATTAACACCACCGCCATCATCTTCTGAGACATCGCCGAACGACTCTTTCACCAATAACTCTCCCAATCACCATTCGTTTTCGTCATCATCTTTCTCGTCGTCGTCATCATCTAACAACAACAACAACGAACACAACGACAACAAGAACGGCGTATTAAACAAATCTTTAAATACCGCCATAGACAGCAACAACAACATCAAATGCGAGAACGACAACAACAACAACTCAACAACAACAACTACTAATAATAATAATAACACGTCCAATAATAATGATGATGATGATGATGATAATAACAAGAAAAACAACGATGACGAAGACGAAGAAGAAGAAGACGACGACGATGATGGAATCATGGAGTGTATAGATTCAGAGCAGACTGAGGAGAACAAGAACAAAACGCAGGCCTTGATCAACACCATCTTCCAAAACATCAACAACAATTTCCTCATAACAGCAAACAACAACAACAACAACTTAATGGAGTTCCAAAACAGCAGCAACAACAACAATAACAATGTACTCTATACAAATATGAACAACTTGTACGTTGACCCAAACAACTACGTCATAAATACAGACATCATCAACCTTATAAACAACAGTAGCGTCCGACTCGCCAACGAGATAAACAACTTGAATAGGCAAATCCTAATCTCCACAACTGGCTATGTTGACAACGAACATGACAACAACAACATCAACAACAACAACAACATCAGTGACAACAACAACAGCAACAGTATGATAGTAGATAACTACCAGATGGATCTACTGAACAATAATTTGCAAAACTATTTATTAAAAAACTCGTCACTAACTCAACAACAACAACAACAACATTTCGACAGCAACATCATCATCAACAACAACAACAACACACAAGAACGGATAATAATAATCGCTCCCACGAAGATAAACAACGAATTTGAAACCAACAACAGCAGCAGCAACAACAACAACAATCTCTTCGACACGTCAGCTTATATAAACAACAACAACAACAACAACGACAACGACAACAGCAACAGCGTACAACAATACACCATGCAAACATCATCATCATCACCATTTGCAACAACATCAGCAACAACACTCGATACCAGCATGGTGGTCCTGACAGATGCACAGCTAATTAACATCGGCGCTTCTAACAACTTTCAAAATTTAGTTTTTTAAAAAAATTATGAATAATTATTAATATTATTATTGATATCATTATTATTGATATTATTATTATTAATAATATTTTTATTATTATTTTTATTACCGTTATTACGCCTAAGCTCAAGCTACTGATGTGCAATACTTACTGAAAAAGTTGAAAACAACAACAACATCAGCAGCAGCAACATAAACAACAACAACAATAATAAAAATTGTTATTATTGTTATTATAATTATTATTATTATTGTTATTAAATTCCCAATTACATTTCGTACATTTCAAAATCAACATTTTTTAATACATCGGAAAAATCAATTTTCTATCGTTTGCATATTTATATATTCATTCGCTCGTTCGTTCGTTAATTCATTCATTCATTCACTCACTCACTCACTCACTCCTCACTCACTCATTCATTCATTCATTCATTTATTCTATTTAGTTTTATAGAATAAATAAATAAAACTTATTTATACATTTGTTTATTCAATTATTACTCAAAGAATTGTACAAAAGATCAAAAAGATTAATTATTTTAATGTCTTTGTTTTTTAATTTATAGAGCGCGGTTTGTTTTATATTCTATGTTTCTAAGTTTTCTATATTTTTTTTGTTTGCGTGTGTATTTATTTCTATGTTTTGTATGTACTTTGTGTATTTATTTAGGCGTGTATTTATTTCTTTATTCACTCATTCATTCATATGTTAGTTTATTCGTTCATTCGTTCGTTCGTTCGTTTGTTCGTTCGTTCATCCATTCAATTTTTGCTTTCTTGTTGTGTGTCTATACATTTTTCTTTTCCGCGGTAACTTATTTGTTTATTTATTTATACAAACAAACAAACAAACATACAAACTACAAACAAACAAACAAGCATACATTCAAACAAACAAACATACATACAAACAAACAAACAAACATACATTTTTTGTATTTTTCAAATCAAATTTTTATAAATGCAATTGTATATAAACGTTTATTTATTTATTTTATATTTTTACTTATTCACTCATTTATTTTCTCATTCACTCAGTCATGTGTGTGTGTATATATATATATATATATATATATATATATATATATATATATATATATATATATATATATACTATGGGATCTCAATGGATGACTGTTTATTTATTGAAAAATAAGGCTATTCAATTTACATAATTTATTATCACACTTATTGTTGTTATTATTATTGTTATTATTATTGTTGCTGCTATTGTTTTTGTCGTTAATCCATGTTAGTTCATTTTTATTATCATTATTGTTGTTGTTATTATTATTATATTATTTATTATTAATAATACTATAATTATTTTCATCAGCCACATTTTTTTGGCAAAACTGTGTGCGTGTGTATTTTTTTTTTGTTGTTTTTTTTTGCATAAGGCACAAACAAACTCACATACACACATACACACCAACACACATACACACACACACCAACACACACACACATACACATACATACATACAAACAAACATATATACGCACCCAGACATACTTTGTACAACCGATTTTAATGAGTTAATAATATTGACAAGATAATGGAATAAAACATTTTAGAAATCGAGTTTGCTTTAATTCGATTCGATTTATTATAACTAGAACTACAATTATAACAACAACGATTTTAGTACTACTACTACTACTACTGCTACTGCTGCTACTTTTACCACTACTACTACTAATAATAATAATAATGATAAAAAGAAGAAGAAGAAAAAGAAGAAGAGAAGAAGAAGAATAAGATGAAAAAAATATTTTTTATAACAGTAACTCGTAATGTACTAACATCCGGGAACTGTTCAAAGTATTTTGAATCCTCCAGAATTTCTAGTAGGAATTTTTCGACTATTTGAAGAGGAAAATAACAATAATAATAAATTGAATAATAAAAATTATCGTGATGATTTTGATGGTGTCGTTGTTGGTGTTTAAAACTGACATTTTAGAGTTTGGTATATCAGATTGTAGGTGAGCATTTGTTCCGTATTGGACCGGAACTCTACTTTCGGTATAGATACGGTTTTCCATTTATCCGAACCGCCAGTATTTACAGACCCGGTATTGTTGACGTTGTTACTACATTTCATTATGCTCTTCACGGTTGTTGACGTGCCAAGCTTGCTGTTGTTGTTGTTGATGTCATCGTTATCGCTATAATCTTCGAAGTTATTGTGATTGTTGTTGTTGTTATTGTTGCTGCTGTTGCTAACATTAATGGTGATACTATTGTTATTAGTATTGTTAGTGACGTGATTGTTGTTGATGTAGTTGTTGTCTCGTTTCGATACAACAACAACATCGACATTTCCATCCATAGCAGTAGCAGCAGTAGCATCAGTAGCCACATTAGCTGCGTTAATGCCAGCGCCTATAGCTAAATTACTAGCCGTATTAGTCGCGACTACATTAGCCACAGAGCTACGATTTTTATTCATGATTCTAACCTTACTATTTTTGCTATTGACGCTTCTGTGAACTTCTAGATTCTTCGAGTTAGTTTTTTTCACAATGGTATAGTTGTCTGGGGTTTGTTTGAGAGCTTGGAAGAGGATGGATGCGAGGTAGAAGTGACGATGGCTGTATAGATTGGGTATGTATTCGAGAATTTTCTGGATGTCTTGCTTGTAGTGCTCCGTCGTTTGGTTTTCCATCTGAGTTCGGTGCGTGGATGTGTGTGTGTGAGAGAGAGATAGAGATAGAGAAAGAGAGAGAGAGAGAGAAAAGAGAGAGAAAAGAAGTGTGTATGTATGAGTGAGTGTGTTTATATAAAAGTGTTTTTGTGTTGCATTCATTCGTCTGAGTGGGGAGTGTATCATTTTACTTCAGCGCTGACTGGCGAATTAGATCAATTTTGTGTTACACACACACAGACACACACATACACACACACATACATACACGCACACACACACATACACACACACGCGCGCGCACAGACTAACCTTGGAATACTTGAACGCCGGATTGCTGACAGTTGCACCAAATATCGTAACATCCTGAACCATGTTGAAAAAGGAAAGTCGTTCCGGGGCCGAATTGTTGGGGTCCATTTCCAGGGCATCGTAATCAAGGGGGGTCAACATTTTAGAGATGTGCGTTCTAAGGATGTTCCGGAGATCAGGGCGAAACAGGGATGTACGTTTTTGGTGAATTAGATGGAAAGAAGCAAACTCGGGTGGAAAAGTATCTTTAAAATTTTTGCGGCTGATTTTGTTGATGTTGTTGTGGTTGCTGTTGTTGTTGTTGTTTTCAATGTTTTCGACTACAATTTTGACGAAAACATCAATTAAATCAACACTTATGAATTTTAAAAAAATGAAACAATGAACTCTGCTATGATAAGAAACATTAAGTGTAAAGCTGCCCAACTGAATACATGTGAAAGAACAATAGCAAATAATATTCTAGAGAAAAATAGGTAGAGATAGAGAGAGAGAGAGAGAGAGAGGGAAAGAGAGAGAGAGAGAAAGAAACGAGAAAGAGGAAGATATCTAAGTGAACTCTAAATCACAATTACAAGTAAACATTTCTGTACACACACACACACAGACACACACACACATACACACAAATACATACAGATACAAAACATTCCGCATACAATTTTTGCGTGTACAACAACAGAGAACAACAAATGATATAAATAATAATAGAAAAACAATCAGATATAAATAGCAACTGAAAATGGCAAAAAACAAATAATAGCAATAACAATAGAATAATAAATACGGATACAGTAATTTGGCCAGACTCTAGGTTATCACAGAGAAGGCTTGAAGGCTTATTGAATATTTAATTAGGATGATGTATGTATGTGTGTTTATGTATGTTTGTTTGTTTGTGCATTTGTTTGTATGCTTGTTTGTATGCTTGCTTGTTATTTTTTGTTTGTACTTATACTAACACACACACATACAAGCACACAAGCACACATACATACATACATACATACATACATACATACATACATACATACATACATACAACTTTTACCAAGGGTTAAAGATCGGGTTTTGTGGAGGTCAGGGGTCGCCAAAGTCCTGAGAGGACAAGGCACGAGAAAGAAGAAGACTGGTCAGAATTTGAACGACTTTTCTTGGCAAAAATAAGTTTAATGAAAAAAAAATTAAAATGTTGAAATTGGGGAGAATTTTTACCATAAAGCTCCTTTTATGAGAGGGTTTTCTCAGTTTTTAGGTTCATTAATCTCTACGTATTTATTGTATTTTTTAGTGTCTCAGTTTGTTATAAGAAGTCATTCATTCTTTGTTCACAGTAAACACTAAATAGAAAAATATTGTTAATGAACGAACGAACGAACGAATGAATTAATGAATGAATTAATTAATTAATTAATTGATGAAAAATTAATCATTTTATTATATTTCATATACAAAATAGTTTTTGTAGAAAGATAAAATAACATTTGGCAAGAAACATAAAAATATTTGGTAAAATATAAAGGAAACATTTTTCAACACATTGTCATGAATAAAAACATTCTTCTTGAAACTATAACTACTACTACTACTGCTGCTACTACTACTACTGCTGCTACTATTACTACTACTACTGCTACTACTACTACTACTTTTAGTGCCGCTAATTTTGTTGATAGTATGTAAGTAGTAAAATTTGCTTGTCGGTTGATTTGAGAGATCAGAATTAATGTTGTTGTTGTTGTTGCTGTTGTTGTGGTCATTGTCGTCGTCGTCGTTGTTGTTGCTGTCGTTGCTGCTGCTGCTACTGCTGCTACAACTTTGGTTTCTGTTATCTAGGACGAACGAAAAACAGTTTTTTCTTCACGTTAAATGTTTTTATATGCCAGCTTAATTATATCAATAGAGGCAGAAAGCAACAACAACAACAAAAACAACAACTACTGCAAGAAACAACAACAACAACTACTACTACTACAAGCAACAACAACAACAATAATAATAATAACAACAACAGACCAAATTCATTCATCAGCATGGTACTTAGATGAACTTCATAATCTTCCTTGTACTCAACAATGCTTCTTATCGAATCGCATTCAACCCTTATTAATTCGTATTGTTGTTGTTGTTGCTGATGATGTTGTTGTTGCTGCTGTTGTTGTTGATTTGGTTGTTGCTGTGTTTTAACCACCTAAAGATTCAAATACGATTAAATTTTGAAAGAAATACACCTAAAATTCAACCAATCACATGCGTTCAATCATTATGACGTCACTAAATTCAACCACCAAATACCATTCACCATTACCAAACACCATTCGCACACAAAACAAAACTCGATCGACCAATCAAAACCAACCCAGCAAATGACGTCATCCCTAAACGTATCTTTGGTTATTAGGAACTTTATATCTTTGCTAATACTCAAACGTAGCAGACATTTCAACCGTCCTTTGAAAATTACGATAACAACTATAATTAAGAGCTGTAATTATAACTATAATTATAACTATAATTATAACTATAATTATAAATCTATTTAAACAATAATAATAAAAATAATTATTCACTTGGATAGTACAGTTTGACTTTCTCAAGACGGACGGTCAAATGGTTATTTGGATATATACTCTTGCAATCGTAATTGTAATAATTGTTGTTGTTGCTGTTGTAATAATTGTTGTTGTTGTTGCTGTTGTTGCTGTTGCTGCTGCTGCTGCATTGTACTTGCAGATCACTAGCCGTACCGACAAACGTTGAACCGTCGGTAAATGTTGACGATATCGAGTATACCGAGCCGGATAAACACACATCCTTTTCCATATTTTCCGGAGCTGATGATGACGATGACCATGGTGGTAATGATAATGATAAATCTAATAATGATGATTATGACGACGCTGATTAAAAGTGAAATTAATACTACATGATATAAATACTCACCGAATAAAATCTCTTTAGTTAAGTGGAGTCTATTATTATTGTTGTTGTTGTTATTATTAATGTTGTTGTTGTTATTATTAATGTTGCTATTGTTGTTTTTGTTGTTGTTGTTATTGTTGAGAATGACGTCATTCAGTGATAATGATGATGGTGATGATGGTGGTGTGATTGAAGTGCAATAACTCAGTAGGACATCCTTCTGGGATGTGAGCGCTAAATAATTGTCAATCATAATTAGTTATAATATCTCAGTCATAATAAAAATTATTATTATAAATTATGAATATTATCGCTTCTACCACCACCACTACAACTACACTACATCTCTATGACTATCGAAGATTTCAAAAATCAAGAAGGCAACGAAGAGGTGGTTGTAAAAGAGTGACGATGATGATGTACGTAACTAACAAGTGATCACTTCAACATTTCCGACGTCTGTCTTCATTATGTTCATGCACGAGTACCTTGGCCGGCTGTGACGTAATAACATCATCATCATCATCGTCATCATCAAATCATCGTCATCAGCATCATCGTCGTCGTCATTATCGTAACCCACCATCCATTTTCTAAGAAGGAGAAGATTTTATAGTTGGACATGCTCCAGTGTTTACTCTTGCACACGTGACTACCTCTTCCGGTCAACTCTGACGTCACAATCATAGAACCGGAAGTGATAAGGACCTGTTTCCGGTTGCCGCCGGCATGTGACGTCAGCGTTTTTGAGTGTTTTCGATGTTTCCATTGCTTGCGAGGGTTTTTACGCTGATGACGACTTGCAAATATTTTATTTTTGTTGTTGTTGTTGTTGTTGTTGATGTTGTTGTTGTTGTTGTGGTTGTTGTTCTTTTTGCGAAGTTGATCTAGAAAATTTTCGATGGAGAATTCGAAGTAGCGTCCGTGTATGTCAGCCGGAAAGCCACATTCGTTTTCAGGGGAAGGAGCTATCTCTGTATAATGAAAAAAAACAAAAGATTATAAAATAGATCATTAAAAAGATTATAAATAACAAAAGGTAATGGGTGGCAACTAATCTTAAAATCAGATCAGGGGAAAAACATTATAAATAAAAAAAGATTATAAATAAAAAAAGATTATAAACCGCAGAGTCCGCAAGATTTCAGACAGAAATTCGCAAAACTCCTAGCCACGTAATCACTGTAGCAGCTTCCTGTCCTCACGTGATCAAAACATTTAGCGGTTTCATCGTAGCACAGGCTCCTGTCTGAATTTTTTTGATGATGTCATTTTTGTTGTTATTACAATTATTATTATCATCATCATCATCACTATTGTCATCTTCATCATTGTCATAAACATCATCACATCATCATCCTAATTATCGCCATCTTCGCCATCATCATCATCACCATCATCGCCATCTTTGCCACCATCATCATCGCCATCATCATCATCATTATCATTACCACTTCTCTGTATTCTGTAGATAAAGTCAAATCTTCCACCGTCTTTCACGATCTTGTTTCGAAAAGATACTTCACTACTACTACTACTACTACTACTACTAATACTACTACTACTACTACTGCTACCGCTACTACTACTACTGCTGCTGCTGCTGCTGCTACTACCTCTGCTACTAGCGTTTATTTTACTTTCGTTAATATTTTCACTAATACTCATTTTGTTATTTGCATTTTTCATAGTATTATAACCATAAGCAGGCTTGTTATTATTATTATGATTATTATTATTATTATTATGGCTATTGTTGTTGTTGTAGTTGTGATTGTGGTTGTTGATATGGTTGTTATTGTTGTGGTTGTTGATGTGGTTGTTGTCGTCGTTGATGTGATTGTTGTGGTTGTTGTTGTGGTTGTTGTTGTTGTTGATGTATTTTTTGATGTTGTTGATGTCAGTCAGTTTAAATCCATTATTAATCAGAATGTAGCCGGAACTTTTGGCGGCGAACCTCGGCAGGACTGGAATACTCTAGCAGTAGTAATAGTAGTAGTAGTAGTAGTAATAATAATAATAATAATAATAATAATGATGATGATGATGATGATTAGAAACATCGTCAACAACTCAACCCACCAGGCTATAATGATGATGAAGATGAGGTACATTACTTATTTTCATTGAGTAACCGTTATTATTATTATTATTATTATTATTATTATTATTATTGTTGTTGTTGTTGTTATTGTTATTATTTTTCTCGGCGCGCTCCTCTTCGACCATTAGAATTTGAAAGTAAGTTATTTTTTTGTTATTGTTCCTATGATTATTATTATAGTTATTATAATTATTATTAAAGTTATTATAATTATTATTATAGTTATTATAATTATTATTATTATTATTATTGTAAGTAGTAGTAGTAGTAGTATTATGGTTGATATAACCATTGTTTTCTAGATGATCGCCGGTAACACCATTGGTTGATACGTCTTCATCTTCGTCATCGTCATCAGTACCATTATCACCATCCCCATCATCATCACCATCACCATCATTATCATCTTCACTATCATCATCATCGTCGTTATCATCGTCATCATCATCGTCGGGGGTTAATCTCCAATAAGAATGACAAGTAAATCGTTTTTCTGTTTAAATGAAGTTCAATTTGTCCAATTATAATTAATAATAACAATTATTATTATTATAGCTATAATAATAACAATATATATATTGTATTAAAATATGGCGACCTTTCAACCTTGACCTTTGGGTAAAATCGCATTCATACTTGGCCGGTTTAAACAGAAGCCCTTCAGAGTTCATGCACTCGAGTTCGAACCGCGTTGAACTCTCATCCGTTGAGCACGTGATCTGATGATGACGTCGTGATGATGATGACAATGATGATGATGAATTCGTGAGGATGATGATGATGATAGTGAGATGATGATGATGACGACGGTAGTTTTCACGCTGCTAATGCTGCTGGTACTTGATTGTTATAAGATGATGATAATAAAATGATGATGAAGGTGACGATGAGGATGATGATGATACCGTTCCGCCATTTTGATGATGAGTAATGACGTCATAACCACCGAGACTTGGACAGGCTTGTGGGGAGCTTGCGTCTGAAGAAAAGATGTGATTGTTGTTGCTGTTGCTATTATTTTATATAATTGATATTCTTATTAGTACTGCTTTTGTTGTTGTGTAGTTGTAGTAGCAGCAGCAGTAGTAGTTGTTGTAGCAGTAGTAGTAGCAGCTGTAGTAGTAGCAGCAGTAGCCACAGCAGTAGTAGTAATGTTTTTACTTTGATTGCAGTTACCTAATATATGTATCTATGATTAAACGAATGGGCAAACATACTTTTGTTTGCTATGGCCTCTGGTTCGGCAATAATTAAGTTTATACACAATCGCATGTATGTTTTTGTGTTTGTATGTCTGTGTGTGTATGTGTGTTTGTATGTTTTTGTATGTCTTTTGGTTTGTTTGTTTGTATTTTGGTTTGTTTGTTTGTTTGTATGTTTTTTCGTTTGATTATGTGTTTTTTTTGTTCGTGAATTTGATTGTTTGTTTGTATATGTGTATTTTACTGTTTGTTTGTTTGTTTGTATCTACCTGTCTGTTTTTTTGTATTTAATTTATTAGTTGAATAAACGAGCATGATGCAATTTTCATATTAAAGTGTATTGTATTGTAGCGTATAAATTTTCAGATCTACAGATGCATATAAATTCTCGTCTCGTCTCGTTTCGATTAAAACACTTTTCGTTTCGATGATGCACAGACACACACACACACGCACACATACGCATGCACGCACACACACGCACACACACACACGTACTAACCAATCCAGAGCCAGCGATCAACTGTCATAAAATCATCGTTGCATTGGAAGTCTACGTTCAGATTGTTGGGGAGACCTCGAGGAAGGAGAGAGAGAGAGAGAGAGAGAGAAAGAGAAAGTGTTTGTGTGTGTGGTGTATTTATATTTGTTTATTTGTTCGTTCGTTCGTTTGTACGTTCGTCCAAACGTTCATTCATAAGTTTATTATAAGTTTATTAGTAGGTTTGTTCATTCACTCATTTGTTCATCTATTCATTCATCTATTAATTCATTCATTCACTTGTTCGTTCGTTCGTTCATTCCCTCGTTTGTTCATTCATTCATTCATTCACTCATGTTTACCTTTGTGTAAGACGATAGTACTGCTGGTAAGACGTTGAAATCTAATGCATGAAAAAAACTGTTTCCTATTTTGTATGTATGTTTGTTTGTATGTTTGTTTGTTTGTATTTTTGTTTGTATGTTTGTTTGTATGTTTGTTTGTTTGTTTGTATGTTTATTTGTATGTATGTTTGTTTGTATGTTTGTTTGTTTGTATGTATGTTTTTAGTTTGTTTGAATGTTTGTTTGTTTTTTTGTATGCATGTATGCATGTTTGTATGTGCATGTGTAGTTGTATATCTGTTTGTATATTTGTTTGTATGTGTGTGTATATAATAAAGCAATCAATCAAGTTATTAAAACTATAGTGGTAGTAGTAATATTTTGGTAGTAGCTTCTGTAGTAAAAGTAGCAGTAAAGGTAGTAGAAGTAACAGCAGCAGCAACAGCAGCAGCAGCAGCAGCAGTAGTAGTAGTAGTAGTAGCAGTGGTGGTGGTGGTGGTGGCGGTAGTTGTAGTAGTAGGAGTAGTTGGTAGATAAATAGGATTGGTTGAGTGGTCTGTACGAGCAAAGAATGTAATGTTGAAACATACTTAATTATTAATTTGAGAAAATTGTCGTTGTTGATGTTGTTGTTGTTGATGTTGTTGTTGATGTTGTTGTTGTTGATGTTGTTGTTGATGTCGTTGCTGTTGTTGTTGACGTTGTTGTTGTTAATGTTTTGATTTTTGTGTTGTTGATGTTGTAACGATCAGTGTCGTTGAAGATATCCCACACTTTGAATTGC